ACAGACAGACAGACAGACTGAGATATATAGGCTGAAAAACGTAAACAGCTTTGGACGTAGAATATAAACAGAAAAGATAATAGGTGTTAGAAGATGAGAACTCGATTGTGATAAATTCGGGGTGGAACTTATTGTCAAATATCCAAAAGAGAGAGAGGGGGGACAAACAGAGATAGAGAGAGAGAGAGAGAGACAGAGAGAGAGAGAGAGAGCCCCCCAAAAAAAAACCCACGCAAAACTAAATCATACGAGTAGACTTTCCAACTTTTGCACAATGACTTATATTAGTTTGCCTCAATATATGAATATTTTTCAAACCAACAGTGCGCTGTATTCTAGAAACTTCTTTTTTTTAATGCAGATTTTAATATCACAGTTGAAAGGCTTACGTCCTTTGATGAGCTGGGACAATAGCATTTTATAAAGAAAGTCCACCTACTTCTAATCATGACAGTATGCAATGGAAGTCTCATTTTGAGAACATTTAATGCAATTACTGGTGCGGAAAAAAAGCTTTATGTTTTATTTTTAACTCCGTTTTTGTAACCATTGATGAATACATTATAATATTATTGCTCAAATTAAACGCAGTGGCACCAGCGAATCGCTTCTGAATAAGAGTGGGTTACACTGTTTTTCACGTCTTCTACTCGTCGTTTGTTATAAATCAGTAACAATATAATATTATAGAGACTTCTTGGAGATAATCTAAGAAGATCGTTTAAAGAATTGCACATTCTTACCGACCGGTATCAAAGACAACCAGGAATGACAGCGTCAAACCAAGGCACCTTCCTGTCGCAGTTTCTGACTTCTGATTCCTCCTCACCAGCGCGTTGCTCCTCATGGGACTGATTATATAAAGGGAGCAACGTTCTTTACAATTTCACTCGTCGTATATCAGGAAATCGTAATTATGCGTGGGTTAAAGTTTTACCAGTACAAAGTATCACCGGTGACCTGTGACGTAGGCCACATACGTATGCAAAATGTTTATGAGAAGTGGGGAATGCTGGGAATCCTTCCATTTTCCGTGCGACGCAGATTTGTAGTATTTCATTTATGAAGAAAAGTTTTTTTTTTATCTCGCCTCAATTGTTGGGGGAAAATATGACTAAGTCAAGACAAATTATTGATACAAGCGGCTGTGCACAGTATGGGTGACAGTGACTCACCCGTTAAAGAGATTTTTGAGGAGAAGTTGCGCCACGAATTTTTTTACCGCACTGTAAAAAAGGGGCTGGATCAAGACGTCAAGTGCGACACCAAAATACCATGGTGACATAATTATGTTGCAAGTGCGCTCGCAACTGCATAAGGTCATAGGATACACCAAACATTTTTCAGTTGATAGGAAATTTTAATTTTGCAAGGGTGGCAGTCGAAGTCTACTATTTTCGATTTTGGACCACAAGGGGATCTTTAACGTGCGCAACTTACACACGGCAGCTCCGGGATTTTACGCCCTTGTCCGGAAAGGCAAAGTGGTGGAAAAAACAGCAGTAAGAAGAAGCCAAGGAGACGCAGTAGAAAGGCTGAATAAAGAGTCAGGAGCCCAGAGGAGGGGGCTAAGGGGGTGAGGGAGTGGGGGCAGAAAGTGGAGACGAAAGCAGACGACAGAACATTGTTAGAGAGCAGGAAAGAATATGAAAGAAGACAATTTTAGAGAAGAAAATTTTCCGTCCGCCGCCATCCGGATTCGAACCCGGGACTTTTTAAATGAGAGGCGAACATCTTAATCTCTATGCCACGAGAGCCCCAGAGTAGTTAATGTATTCATAAGATCTGAGTATAGCGGACAATTAATATTTTTCATCCACCTTCTTCAATGCCGAATCACACGTCCCTTTTGGTATGTTTTATACTGTGTCGCAATTTGAAGAACGTTTACATCATCTTCGAATTACTTGAAGAAATATCTACAAATGAATTTCTCCTCCTCTTCCTCCTCCTGCTCCTCCTCCTTCTTCTTCTTCATCTTCTCCTCCTCCTCCTCCTCCTCCTCCTCCTCCTCCT